AAGCAAAACAGATACAGTATGTCTCCCTATGTGTTTTCTTACCCAGAAGTAATCGCAATAGCTCCACTCATTCGGTTTAAGCAGTTGCTGTTCAGGCATTGTCATAGGGAGTGGAAATGTTACACAATTTATCTGCAAGGGAACACAAGAATGAAAAAGAACTCAAGGTTTAGTGAAATACAGGGAAATGGGGGATATTTGGCTTTAACAGTTTTATCTTTGACTTTTGTGGAGGCAGAGGCTTGTTATGTTCCTAGACCGTAAGAATCTAAACTGTAAGGTTACTTGTGAAGCAGTGCTGCCCACTCTCCTCATTAGATGGAATGCACAGGCTTGTGTGATTGACAGTCTCAGCTTAAAGCTGAAGCTGGGAAATGTAAAGGCCTGCAGGAGACCTTGTCCTTGTCCAGGCAAGAGTAGATCCTCTTCTACAGCAAAAAATGGTTATACATCCTTTATTGAACTGACAAACCACTGTATGCATTGAATGAATCAAAGACATGTCAACTAAGCACAATACTTTGAACATCTTGTGACAAATTTGAAATTACTCTCCACCATAACTAGAGGGTTCAGGCTGACCCAGGCATGATGCCAAGAGTCTTCCAGACAGATCTGTTTGCCAGACTGCTGGCTTTTCATACGCACCCAAATACAGTTAACCTCTATTTTCTCATGCACCCAAATACAGTTAAACTAGCACATACAGTCAACTCAAAGCCAGCACTTTACAAAATATCAACTCTCAGGGCTCCACATCTTCAATTACAGCTGATGTGTAGCAATTATGTAATGAACACCATCTGCAACCTCTTTGTGCCAAAAAAACCACCCCCATGAATGACATTTTGCATCTCAGAGGACCATCCATGGAGAGTTTTAGTTTTAAAAAAAGAAAACAAATAGGTTATTGCTATGGCAAGCTTATTATAGAAATTATGTTGACTATACTAAATTATAAACAGATATCATAGCTCTCTAGCGCAAAGCACAAGAGCAGAGATGAGGCTAATAGTTGTCATCTACTCGTCTTTTTATCTTCTTCAGTGCCAGTAATGTAAAGATTATATGATCACCGTCCAAGCTGTCCACAACATTAGTGCTGTGTGCTCCACCACAACATTAAAATACAGCCTGTAAAGTATTGGGTATAGAGAACAGCAAGTCTTTATTCTCTTCCGAGCAATGAAGAACTTAGAAAAATGTCAAGTAAACTTTGCCAGAGTTAAGGCTAAAAGACTGGAGACTTTGCTGTTTTTTAAGTGCAAGCAGGCTTGAAATGCTGAATGAATACATAAAACTCTTCTAATATAATAAAATGGATGGTACTGGCTTGGTTCTTTGCGCACTTGCCAAACTTTTGATGAAGCAATGAAAGAAGACTTTTAAAAAATGTTCCTCATCTGAGGGAAAGTGAAAAAATGATTGAGGAGTATCCTCTATTCATGGAACAAACACAATGAGAGAAATACCCTACTCCCTTCCCCCTTAGTGTGATTAAAGTTAGGAAATGTTAGTGTCTTTTATGTGTGTACATGTTTATTATATTTATTTACATTTATTATATATATACTACATGTTTATTACATGCACATTACTGTTAATCCCTGCTGAGAAGACAATCTAATTGATTCACTGGTAGGTGTGTCTCTTCATTAATGCTATTTGTTTCACAACTTGTGTCTAGTGGTGTACACTACAGCCCAGTTTACTTGTGTATGTTGGAGCCCTCTCATATTTTTACTAATTGCACATTTTCTCTTATATAAATATCCTTCCCAGGAAAGAATAAACATAAGCAGAATTTAACAAAGCACATTGACGAAGGGGAATGGGGCAGTGTGGGAAGTAGTAACAATAGTAGTGTCCACCTTGGAAATAGTGAAACTAACAGGTATGTGAAGTTATCATGAGAATGTAAAAATTAATTAAAAATGTCCCCTTTTCCCCTCTTCTTCACCAGTGTGTGTGCTATTACTGAAATCTTTATAATTTATTTAGTTGCAGTTGCATATTTAAGGCAAACGTTAACCCATTTTATTGGAATTATATTAATGGAGATTTGTTTTTCCTACTATGAAAATAACAGGACTGAGGAACTGCTTCCAGTTGTATAGAGATGTCTTGTTGACTCAGTTAAACTGCCATCTGTATATTTTAATGCATTTTTTGTAGTACCCTAATTGATTTCTTAGACATTGGTATATGTAATTGAAAAACCAATGCAAGTATATATGGGGAAAGAAAATAAAAACACCAACCAAGAAATCAGAAGTCACATTACCCCTTGTACTGCAAGATGGAGTAACCAAAAATGAAACAATAGTGTCTTGTTAGTGCATGCACTGTGCTGTGCAAACACAAGAAAGAAGAACTCAGAAAACAACTCCTAAATGCCAGACTCTAAAAGACAGCTTTTGGGATCCATAAAAATGTCAAACAAAGAAAAAGTCAAGAGATATGCAATTCTCCTACACTGTCAACAAAAAACTACAAGAATACTGCTTTTAAGCTGCAGTGTAAATCAGGTACAAAGTGTGACAAATACTGTAATTGAAGAGTGTTAAACTACATTTCCTTTGAGTAGTGATACCATTTTGTCTTTTATTCTAGCAGTGCTCCTATTTGCATAATGTGTTTAACTAATTGGCTGTTTTAACTGGAACACATCTTCATTTTCTGGTGTTGGTGCTTCAAATATTTTACCTTTAACATACAGTAGAATATCTTTCAAATCAACTGTAAGAAATTTAACTAAAACATTCAATCTGCCCTACAGAGCAGATGATTAAATCAGTAATGTAATGGTGATGAAATGAAATCCTACAGCCATCAAGAACCAGAGTTTATTGCTTTTGCCCTCTTTAATTCTTGAGCAGACATGTAATACTTAATAGAAGTCCAAAATCTAGAATGGAGTGAGAACCTTTAAAACGTGAGAACCTACAGTACCAACAATGAAATTCATTTATGTTGTAGGAATTGTGTAGAGATTTCTTATTATTTCTTATTGCTTTATAAAACAGCCTGATTATTATCATCGTCATCCTCATTTTATATTTGAGGGGCAGGTAGTGGATTCTTGTTGCAATATGCCTTCAGTGTAAATGTGCTTTGGTGTGTGATTGTATGATGGTAATTACCTTTTAATTATATTTTAATTGTCCTTGTAGTTTTTCTGGAATAAGATTTGCTGAAAATAGTTAACAACAATGTCACCTCAAATAAGAGACAACCCAGATCACAAAAGACAATGACCACTCACAAAAAATAAATCCTTCATTCATGTGTTCCTGCATTTAAAGACATTTTAGAAGACACAAATCTCAGTAATAACATCAAGACTGTCTCCCGATAATAACAAGCCATTGCAAAGTGTATCTGCTTTCAATTAAAAAATCATTACAGTCTGCTTTCCTCTTAAACTTTAAATGGAAATGACGCAACTGAAGTTTGGAATGTTTGCTGGGAAAAAGCACTGAAATACGGATTTAGTATCCGATGCATCACAAAGCTGCTTAGAGAGTACCACAGAAGTTTCTCGAAGTCCCAAAAGTACTATATACAGTATCAATCCTTTTCTAACATAATTCTTTGAACTGGGTAAGGTTTAGGTTAATCAGTTCAAAATGCTAGCAAACATTTATATAACAGATAGTTAAGTTTTTTTAAAATAAATTGTCCCCATAATTTCAATGATATCAATATCATTAGAACAGTTGTTTTAGAATCTGTGGAAGAAGTATCTGTGAAACATTGTGACTGAGACAGCACAAAAGCAAAAGCCATTGAGCAAATTGATTTTTATCAGCAAATTAGTAATCAACAGAAAAATATCTGAAAGCAGACATAACAGATAGAATGTATTTGACTTCATTATAATTTGTTTTAATGACTTCAGAAGGCTTTGCTGTTTTTCTTATGATTTAGAAATACATTACTGATGATACTGTATACGTACTAGCAAAATAGCTAGCCATTAAAATATACGGTATAATAAAGGTCTCAATTCTAAATTAATATCTCATCACATGTTAAATGAAAACGGTATCATTTTAAAGGAGGTGATATTGCTTATTTTCTAATTGCTGTTTTGGACACTTTATACATTAAAATTAAATGTCACTGAGATTGGAAACCTAGCAAAGTCCCCAAAACATACACTTCTTAGATTTTATTTGTAGCAGAGGCTGACACCTACAGTAGGTGATTTATTCCTCTGTTTTAACAGCACTAGTTATCTCTTCAGAATGATGCAGTACTTCCAAAATAAGCATCGTCAAACCTATTGGAAAGTATTGTTTGGGGAAAAAGACATGAAACAAAGATGAGAAGCAAATTGAAAGTGACAAGTGTGAGTTATGAGCTTCTCCCAGAGCCATTTCATTTCCAGACTTGCGGACAGAGTGGAAATGGCTTTTAAATAGTGAGGGAAATTACTCAAACCCCAAGAGTAAAATAACCTTTCTGATTCTTTAGTGGAAGACCTGCAAATGTTACTCCTAGGCTGTTGCTTACCTTATAGTACCTTAAAATCTTTAACGTAAATAAAAATAGTTAATTGCAGCACTATGTTGGGTGTTTCTTTTCCTAATCTTATTATCTTTATTGCACATACTATAAACAAACATACCTGCTGGAAGAAATTGTCCAGCTGATTAAAAATGCTAATTTGATATATTGAAATATTTTATACATGGCAAAATCTGTATGAAAAAAATGGTATTAACAATAGCTCTGACATCCATCCATTTTTTAACTAGTTCTTCCATTTCAGGATTGCAGGGGAGCCAGAGCTTATCCCAGCAAGCAAAAGGCACAAGGCAGGGTATACCCTGGACATGACACCAGTCCATCACTGGCAAGAACAACTCACAACTGTGTTTTTGGTTCCACACAGATACTACCCCAGGTCTGGAACTGAAACCAAGGCCCCAGCACTACTGATAGCAAATACATGAGTTATTGGAAGCATTTAGTACCCTGATATTAACAATATAAGTATTATTGGAATCAGTCTCCTTTATAACTAGGCACAGAAAATGTCTCTTTTATTTAAATTGCACAAATCTGCCATTGCCTGCATATGAACAGGGATGATGCAGTATGAATATTCAATAAATTACAAGTAA